TCACCTAGTTTCGACGAGGTGCGGCTCTGTCATCGCACCGGGTATGCGGTGCACCAAGCGACTACACAGCTAACTCGCTATCGTGCGCTTGCGGCGGTTAGCCGCGTTCCCCTGCTCGCCCTTCCCTTCTGCCTCCTTCGCAGTCACTGCGGCTCAATGCTGGCATCAGACTGGCAGCCCACCGTGATTGCCCCTGCCGAGTGCTCCATTGAAGAGCGCCCGGAATGCTTCATCGACTGCGCCTCCCTGAGGGCTCTTGCAGTAACTAGTGCGTGGCTGAACAACAAAGCATGCATTGCCTACACCCGCTGGCGCATATGGGGTGGTGTGCTAGCTCAATGGGGGACTTCATCATCCGTGACTGCACGCTACTTCGCGGCCGGAAGAGCCAAGCTTTTCCCAGGACTTCGTGTGCAGAGCAACGGCAAACTTGTGCCCGTGGCGGGTTTACTGAGGTAAGCTTCGACACCGAGCGCCTGGGGCGTGCGCGTCAGTGTACACATGGTTATGGCGAGCTTTCCTCCTTCCTCTCCTTGTGCTTCAGCGGTTTGCTGACTCTCCCCTTCCTGCATCACTGTGATCATGGATTCGGTGCCAGCGCCTGGCGCGCGCGTCAGTGTACACCTGGTTATGGCGGGCTCTCCTCCTTTTTCATTCTGCTTTAGCGGTTAGCTGACCCCCCCTCTCCTGCGCCACTGGGATCATGTATTAATCGGGACTGGGTGGTGCCGCGCCTACTGGCTGCCTTCGCCGGCGCCCCCCCCCCCCCCCCCTCATGCTGATGGCCGAAAGGGTTCAGTGGGCTCCGATGCTCGTGCCTCCTGCTTCCTATAGCCGCTGCGGTTAGCTGCCGCAACGGGTTGCCTACCGTGCCTGGCGTGCACTTCCCTTCGCCCCCCTCGTTTCACTGGGTTTATCCCACGCGGCTGGGGTCGCCGCCAGTACTGCTGTCTGTTGGCGCTCTGACAGCCTGAATCCCATGCAAGGTTCACACTGGGAACTCACGGTCAGATGGCCCTCGGCCTGCCCCTGTCTGGCGTCGGCCTCCACTGGCGACCAGGAGGGCTCCGCGAGGTCTCGCTTCGAATTCCATGCATGACCACGCCGGGGACGGGCGGCCAGGTGGCCCTAGGCCTGCCCCCGCTTGTTGTCAGCCTCCACTGGTGACCGTTTCGGTTCCGTGGGGACTTGCTACGGTGCCGTCTTCTTCGGTGCAAGGATTTCGGCATGTGTGGCTCTGGGCGCCCGTCGGCTGCTTTCTCATTCGTGGACTTCGCTTTCGACCTGTGCCGCCGGGTGTGCAAACCAGAGGATCTGCCGTTTGTCGTCCTGTCTGTGCCGAGGCTGCTCTTCACTCCGGCGCCGACGCGATGTTGTTGTGTCACCTACGGCATGGATGTCGCCCTGGAGTGCCTGTCGGACCTGCTCGTTTTCGTCGGACCCTATGCCGACTCACAACGGGTGATCGACCTCTGCGCGTTCATGGTCGCGCCGCCGCGCCAGTTTGGCTGCGCCTACTTGACGGTCGCCACCGGGATTTCCACGCCACCGGGTTGGGAGCGCCGCTCCTGGTGCTCTTCTGAGTGGCTGCCCGCGAGCTCGCTTCGCTTGCCCCTCTCTCTCTTGCTGCCTAGTCGCGGCCCGGCTAGTGTTCGGACGGCTTTCGACTTGTTTCGCGAGCCCGCAGACCAAATAGTATCAGGAACATCAGAATTCACCACCACATCGAGAAGCGATCCCACGGAAGCGCAGGAACATGCAGTGCGATCCAGAGGGCAAGCATGCACCTTATAACTTGCAGGATCCCGTTTGATTATCCTCTTCGGTGAGTTGAAATGTCCCTTGCAGGGTCGCCACGAAGGCCCTAGTCGTTGACGCTTGATTGCTCCGTGGCAGTGGAGAGGCGCAAAAAACCAAGGCGTTCGCTTCTTGAGTTCATCTCGGGGCTTTCTGGGAGCATTTTTGGAGGCCTTCGGGGGCCCTCCTGGGGCTTTCTGGTGGCCCTATTGGGGACCTTCGGGATGAGCTTGCATTCTATTCCTTCTAACCGTAGCGTCGAGGACGGAGGATCCACACCCCTTCCCATTCCCCGTGACCTGGATCACCCGCGGGGGCGCGAAGATATTCTCAATTCGCGCGACGCGGTCCGAGCCGGAACGGTTGCCCTTCCACGGGGGCGGCGCGAGGGCGCGGTGGCATGACGATGATTGCGCATCGCGGCGCCTAGCGCCAGATGACCTAGCGCCATTGCGTTCCATTGCGTCCTAGCTCCGGCCGCCGTAATCATGCCGCCGTCTTCCATTTCCCTTTTTTCGACTCCCCTCGCCTCCCCCTCTACCGTGAGCTCGTGTCGTGTCGTGTCGGCGCGGGCGCTCAGGATAGCGGTCACGATCCTACGTCCCGGGGCCTGTCGAGCCAGCCCGTCGTTTTGTGGCTTCACAGGCGCACATCGGCGCGGTGGTCGGGCCCTGCGGTGTTCGCGGGCACGGCGGTGCTCACCGCTCGCGGGCGCTGTGAGATAGTCGCAGGCGCGGTGTGATGCTCGCGCGCGTGTTGTGGCGTTCGCAGGCGCTCTGTGGTCAGAGGAGGGGCAGGTACTGATGACTTTGCTCGTCCTGTAGAGAGAGAGCCCTTGTCGCCACGGCTAGATTATCCTCGAAATATTGGTCAGGACGCTCCTTGGAAGAGGTCCAGGGTGTATTGGTATCGGTGAATCATTTTTGCTCCATGTAGTGGTATGGCGTTCGCAGGCGGGCGTGGTGCTCGCAGGCTCGCTGCCTGCACTCGCAAACATTGCGGCCCTCGCAGGCTATGCTGGCACATGCAGGATATGGCATGCCCTGTGCGCGCAGGCATACTGTGGTGATCGCAGCCTTTCGCAGTGCTCACAGGCATTGTGGCGTTCACGGTTTATTGGAAGGCGGCGCGGTGCTCGCAGACACGTTGTGGTGCTCGCAGGCTTCGGTTGCGCGTGCGTGCGTTGCCTTGTTCTTCGCAAACTCACTCCAGTGCTTACGTCGCCATCTACCGTGATACTGGTGCTGGCAGGGAACGGTTGCCGTCGGCGCGGTCGCTGGCAGGTTGCGGTGCTCTCGGACACATTGGTGTTCGCATGGTGTTGAAGTTGTCGGCACCGCTGTGTACGTACGCAGACCCTTCGGTCTCACCCGCGGCTTGCTCGTAACAAACACGAGCCTGAGGCATTCGAGCGTGCGTGCGTTTGTGAATGTCGGGGGCGAAGGAAGGACAACCGCAACCGCAACCGCAACCATTGCCCTTCCAAGGCCGACCCCGACCCTCCAGTGGTGGTGACCTGCGCGCCCCCATTGTTACCGTCACTTCCAACATGCCCTCCCCTGTCTCGGACGTGGCGGGGGCGGAGTCACAAAACGTTTTCGACCCTCGACTCGCCCTGTCGGAGGCCGAAGAGTCGCCACTGGGCGCCTTGTTAGGGCTCTCTCGGGTTGATATTGGGAGCCTTTTTCGGGCCGTTTTGTAGCCCTTGAAGGCACGTCCGAGGGCTCTTTGAGGCCATGTCGAGGGCATCTTGCGCCAGATGTGCCACATGGCCCACGTGCGCCACATGTGCCACATGTTCCAGCCGCGCCTGGTGTGCCACGTGCTCAGAGTGCACGAATGCAAGTGACAGCACACATCGGACAAGATGTTGTCAGTCTCACCAGACCCGCAAACAACAATTCAAAGTTGCGGTGGGGGGTGCCAGCATGTTGTATGGCTTGTGCTCCCGCGATCGGTTCACAGATGTTTTCAATATTAGGAGTTTGGTGAACGCGCAGCGGACAAAGATGATCCCATTCGCCACCCTTGTCAAACGCCCACGGGGCGAGATCGCATGGTGCCTGGTTCATTATCAAGATTTCGGCGCCACGTGCATGATGTACTCTCTCTGGCAGTGATGGTGTATGGGGATCCTCGTGATTCCTGGTCGGCGAACAGTCGAGTGTGGGAGAGCGCGTTTGTCAATGAGGAGCATTGGTCAAGCCTTCCCCGACAGTGACGAAAAGGAGTTTGAAAGAGTTAGGATCTACGGGGTTTAGAAGAGCTGGCTACCGAAACCATCTGCGTCAGGAGGGCTGGCGGGTCGAATGTCGAGTTAGTCTTGTGCAAATCGGCGTTCAAAAGTCGTCGAGAAGGACAGGAGTCCTGATGGAAATTGGTTCTCGGCCCCAGGGTTTTCTCCTGGACCGATCTTCATCCCGAGTCGTTGGTGAGGAAGAGCATCCGCTTCGCTGGTGAGAAAGAGCATCCGCCTCGCGGCCATGTACATTGTACATTGCACATTGCCGCCGCAGTTCGCGGACATGCCGCTGCGACGGCTTGCGTCGCCCGCGCCTGGGCTCCGATGCAGTGGTCCCTTTCTCCTCCCCCTGCTCCTCCTCTTGCATCCACCACTGCCGCCGCTGCTCCGTTGCCATTGCCTACGTTTAGTATCATTACCGCAGAACCGCACAAGGTCGGCCAGCTGGCGCTGTGCCTCACCTGGTGCCGTGGGGATTAGCTTGTGCGGGATATCGTTGGCCGCTTGGGCCCTTTGATTTGTGTGGTTTCCTCTCCCGCTCCTCCTCCTCCTCCTCCTCCTCCTCCTCCTCCTCCTCCTCCTTTTTCCCCTCGCGTTTCATATTTTCTGTGCTGGTAATGCAGTGGTCATTCGGGCGCCCAGACTGACAGGCAGTCGGGCGATGGCCTCCGCGGCCAATGATTTTCCCGTTCTTCCTCTTCGGCCTCCTCCTCCTCCTCCTCTTCCTCCTGCTCCTCCTCCTTCGTGATCCCGAATCGGTGCAACAAAATGCGGCTGTTTTTTTTCCGCCTGGCCTGAACGACCGCCGGCGGAAACCGTGACAGGCGCAGGTTGTTTGCCGGGAAAAAAAAGATCTTCATCCCGAGTCGTTGTTTGACGTCCTGGTGCCCGTGAAGGACCCCAGGGGCCCGGAAACAGCGAACAACTTCCTTGGGCCCGCTCCGTTTATGCTCCAAGAAAGGTGTGCGTGAAGCTCGCGTCGAACGAGCAGGTCGTCGCCCTGGACCCAGATCAGGTCAGGCATCAGGGGCGCGACCGCTACGTGGTCGTGCTGGGCGGCCGCGTCGAGCGGGCGGCGGCCCACCTGCAGATCGCGGCGCTGGTGATCTGCGACCACTCGCGAACCCTCCCCCATGCGGGTCCACTCGGCGCTGGGGTGTCGGACACCCCCGCTAGGGGTCACCTGGCAGCAGCCATCCCTCAAGTTCTGAGCCCCGGCCTGCCCGTTTCTCCGAGCTCTGGCCCGCAGGGGCAGGGTTCGCATATGGCTGCCCAGGTGAGGAAAGACAACCCGAAGTTCGATTTCGGCCAGGGCGCCGCGGTGGCTCTGGGGCGCTACGGGGAGGGCCGGGCGCGCCCGAAGGGTGGCGGGGTCGGAGCTTTCGGACGTCTCCGTTGGCTCCTGGAGGTCTCCTTGCCTCGGGATGTGCTACAGCAGCTGCGCCTCGCTGAGAGCGGTTCTAGGGGTGCCCGGGTTGTGCCGGGCGGCCGTTGGAGGCTCGAGTTGCGGCCCGGAAGCCGAGTGACTCTTCGCTGGAGTGACCTGCACTGGCGCGCGGCTTTGGGGGGGCGCGGTGGGGCAGGACGTTGCTGTCGCATCGCATGCAGCGATCGGCAAGCCGCGCAAAATTGTCGCTCATGCCTACGGATACCTAGGGCGCCAGACCGCCTCGACGGGGTCGGAGTAGACGGGCGCTTCGGGGAGAGCGGAGGACGATTGAAGTCGCAGGCGATTTCTCGCCTCTAATCCCGGAGCTTCCAACATAGCGTTTGCCGTTGACAAGAGAAGGGAAGCTCAGATATGCATCCCGAAGAGGCAATCTGGACGCATCCCTGTCGAGGACGCATCCCTGTCGAGGAGGGACCCCGTGGATACCGGGCGGTGTTGCGCGGATGGTCCACGCGGACCGTATCTATCAGATCGCGTATCCATCGGGGCGCGCCTCGGTATTCAGACCGCGAGGGCATGAATAGGGGCATGCTTGTCGCTCGTGATGAAAAGGGGGTTCCAGACCGCCCTGATGGGGTCGGAGCAGGTGGGGTCGGAGGCTCGAGCCGTGTCGTCAATGCATCGATGGTGCGGCTCGATTTTGAGTCAGGCTTTCTCCATCACGACGTCGCCGATGCATCGGCGATGCATCTGCTGCATACAACTGATTTCCAGGCGCCGGCTGGCGCTGCGAAAACCAGCTGCGTGAGCTGATTTGGACGCCCGACATGGGTACGGAAAGAATGGGTACAATGCCCAACAGCAGTTCTTGCTCATTTTGATCAGGACTCGCTTTCGGTGCCGCCGCGGCCTGTGTACATTTGAGACAGAGGGCCGCCTGCCCAACAGCGACCGCTGTTGGTTTGGGACAACATTTGTTGTTGGACATTGTACCCATTCTTTCCGTGCTCATTTCGGGCGTCCACAGCTGATTCGCTACCCCCCCTCCCATCCCCCCCGAGAGATCCTCGTTGTTAGGTTTGCGGGAAACAACTCGGGTCTCCAGCATCCGATCGGAGCACCCCCAGAGTGCTCTCGGCGAGGCGGCGCAGCTGCTGGAGAGCGCTCCGAAGCTGGAAAACCACCGAGGACCTACGGAAATATCAGAATTCCTCGAACCTCGAACCCTTGTCGGCCGACTCGAGATGAGGTGCGATGCTCCTGCCCCAGTGTGTTCCGGCCCCGTTTCGGGGTTACGAGCACGACCACGAAACGATGTTCGCAGCCACCACCGCGCGCAGCATATTTGACATTATTCGGAGCAGGGTCGCGAGCATGAGACGTTCTACTACACATGTAAAGTTTGTTTCGAGCGAAGGCCCGCACACGTTTGTGTATACGGTCAGGAACGTTTGCGTAGCTTGTCGCTCCGCCAGTTCTGGCCAACCAGGCTTCGGCACGACACGCTAAGCACGTCACAGACTCTAAGCATCAGCGCTCCGAGCTTTTCCCAGCTTCCCGTCACACGAAGCAGAGCGGCACGCTACCAGCTCGCAAGGCATGGCCTGTCACATGGGCAGCCGCCGCGACACGGTAATCAAAACTTCTGAAAGAGCGCGTTCTGTGGTTTGGAACCGGGCTCTTCCCCCCCCCCCGTGGATGGAGGGGAGGGGGTTCAAATCCCCCCCCCCCTCCCGTGACGGAGGGGGGGGGTTCAAACCCCCCCCCTCCTCTTTTTGTTCCTCTATCCCTTTCCTCGGACCGGCGCCTGCGTCGGCGGCGGCTGGCGGCGGTAGCGGGGGCGACGTTTTCCTGTTCTAGGCCTGCGCCGGCGCCTGCGGCGGCCGTCGGCGGCGGCGGCGGGGAGCGTCGACGAGGACGACGGCGACGACGATGACGATGAAGACGACGACGCTCCGCCACCGTGCCTTGGTTTTGGGTAAGAGTCCTAATGCATGCCCCTTGGGGTCTCGTCAGAGGGCTCTCGGGGGCCTCAGGAGGACATTTGTGAAGCCTCCTCGGCATCTCTTGGGCCCTTTCTGAGGTGGTGGTGGTGGTGGGCTGTGGTGGTGGTGGTGTGGTGGTGGTGGTTGTGACGGTGGTGGTAGTGGCGGTAGTGGTGGTGGTGGTTTAGTGGTTGTTGGTGGTGGCCATGGTGGTTGTTGTGGTGGTTGTGGTTTGTGGTGGTGGTGGTGATAGTAGTTGTGGTGGTGGTGGCGGCGGTGGTGGTGGCGGCGGTGGTGGTGTGGTGGTGTGTCGTGGTGGTTGTGGTGGTGATAGTGGTTGTGGTTGTGGTGATGGCTTGTGGTGGTGGTGGTGGCGGTGGTGGTTGTTGTGGTGGTGGTGGTGGTTGTGGTGGTGGGTGGTGGTGCTGCTGGTGGTGGTCGTGGTCGTGGTGGTGGTGGTGCGTTGTGGTGTGGTGGTGGTGTGGTGGTTTGTTTTGGTGGTTGTGGTTGTGGTGGTGGTTCGTGGTGGTGGTGGTGGTTTGTTGGTGGTGTGGTGGTGGTTTGTGGCGGTGGTGGTGGTGGTGGCTTGTTGTGGTGGTGGTGGTGGCGGTGGTGGTGGGAGTTGTGGTGTGGTGGTTTGTGGTGGTGGTGGTGTTGGTGGCGGTGGTGGTGGTGGCGCTGGTTTGTGGAGGTGGTGCTGGTGGTGGTGGTGGTAGTGGTGGTGGTGGTGGTGTGGTGCTTTGTGGTGGTGATGGTGGTGTGGCGGGTGGTGGTGGTGGCGGTGGTGGCGTGGTGGTGTGGTAGATTGTCGTGGTGGTGGTGGTGGGTCGTTGTGGTTGTGGTGGTGGTGGTGGTGATGAGTTGTTGCTGTTGTGGTGGTGGTGGTTGCTCTGTGGTGGTGGTGGTGTGATGGTTTGTCGTGGTGGTGGTGGTTGTGGTGGTGGTTGTGGTGGTGGGTGTTGTTGTTGTTGTTGTTGGTGGTGGTGGTGGTCGTGGCGGTGGTGGTGGTGTGGTGGTTTGTGGTGGTGGTGGTGGTGGGTTGTGGTTGTGGTGGCTGTGGTTGTGGTTGTGGTGGTGGTGGTTGTGGTGGTTTGTTGTGGTGGTAGTGGATGTGGTGATGGTTTGGTAGTGGTGGTGTAGTGGTGGTTTGTGGTGGTGGTGGGTTGTTGTGGCTGTGGTGGTGGTGGTGGTGGTAGTGGTGGGGGTTGTGGTGTTGTGGTTTGTGGTGGCGGTGGTGGTGGGTCGAGGTGGTGGTGGTGGTATTGGTGGTGGCGGTGGTGGTGGCGGTGGCGTGGTGGTTTGTGGTGGTGCTGCTGCTGCTGGTAGCGGTGCTGGTTGTGGTGGTGGGTGGTGGGTGGAGGGTGGCGGTGGTGGTAGTGGTGGTGGTTGTGGATTTGTGGTGTGGTGGTTTGTGGTGGTGGTGGGTCGTGGTGATGATTGTGGTGGTGGCGGGTGTGGTGATGGTGCTGGTAATGGTGTGGTGGTTTTTGGTTTTGGTGGTTGTGGTTGTGGTGGGTTGTGGTGGTGCTGGTGGTGGTGGCGTTTTTGGTTGTGGTTGTGTAGTTGTTTGTGGTGATGGTGGTGGTCGTTGTGGTGGTGGGTTGTGGTTGTTGTGTTGCTGGTGGTGGTGGTGGTGGTGTTGTGGTTTGTGGTGGTCGTGTGGCCTTCGGCTCTTCCCGCCACCGTGTTTTGGCTTCGGGTCAGAGCTCTAGTGGGTGCTTGTTGGGGTCTCGCCAGAAGGGTCTCGGGGGCGTCTGCGGAGCATGTGTGACGCCTCGTGGACCTTCGTAAGGGCCTCTCGGTGGCTTCTGGGGGGCGAGGGCTCCATATGGTGATTTGTGTGTCCCCCCCCCTGGGCTGCCTCTGGTCCTCGTCGCTGCGTCCCCGCCGTCGGCGCTGCTGGCGGCCGCCAGCGCCGGCGCCGGCGCCTGCGCCAGGGGGAAGGGGGGGTGGACGCCCCCCCTCTTTGGAGGAGGCGGGGGGTTCGGGAGGGGGTGGGGTTAGGGAGGAGGGAGGGAGCCCCCCTGGTTCTGATCGACGGCGGCGAGTGTGGGGGGGGCCCGCCCCCCGGCTCGAAACGCGCCGTCGAATGTTCCCAAGGCAAGCGCCCGTGAAACGCGCTCTCTCGAACTTCTTGACCGTATACGTGCGGGCCCCCCTCGTCGTCGTCAGTCCCTTCGTCGTCGCCGTCGGCGTCGTCATCGTCATTCCCCGGCTTCGTCGTCACCGTCGGTTATGTATGAATTCCTTGTCTTTCCCACTCTTACCTTTCTCTGCCGCTGCCCTTATCGGCTCATGTATGGGATATTTGGGATCTTCTCCTGACATACAGGACTATGCAGCGTCGAGGGATAAAACCCTTCAACGCTGTCATCCTTCTCCTGCCTACAGATCTCTTCCAGACAAACGGTTAGGCCTTTCGGCCCCCTACCTCCGTTCGCAGGTTATCGCCCGAACTTACTTCGCTCTTCTGTCGACGATCCTTGCGTCGTCGACCTATGTTGCTGCTTCGATGGCCGCCATTTGGCTTATGCTGCAGCCCCATAAAGTCGATAAGGTGGACGACGCCATGCGCGACTGCTAAAACTCCAGAGCCTCCGCATGCGAGGAGGCGGTCTTCAACGTTTCGGCGTGGAGTGGGACATCCCACCGACCCCAAGATCCTCAAGTCTTTTGTTCTGGACACATATGCTTCGACATCCATGGATGAGACAGGAAACGCACGAATGCAACAAGATGGAGCCTCACGACCACAACAGGATTTACGACGGGCTACATGCCCGAGTTGTCGAGGACATTGAGCTGCGTCGAGTCGGACGAAACCAGAACAACTTGATGCACGAGTCTCCGCGCAAGGACGGCGCGGTTCTATGTGCGGCGCAGGCGCAGAAGAAGGGCAACTGCAAGAGTGGCGATCGTTTCGCAGCTTTACATGCAGGACCTGGCGGTTCGCCGCGACGTCCCTCT